ATGTTGTGCTCCCTACCTTCAGACCAATGTACATTCACATCTCAGGTATAACCTTGTCTGCTATCTTCTAGAGATATGAACACATTACTTCCACTAGATTTGGTGTGCAGCATAGTGTGTCATATGATGGGAATAGATATTTTTGTGTAATCCTGTAACGTGTACAGTAACTCATTCAAAGTGCAGTATGTAGTATTATCTGCCTTTATTTAGTTCTGTAATGATTAACAAATCCTGTTTATGCTCATTTTAGTACCCAGTGAAGTTTGCTTAATCACACTCTTCTCAAGCACATATTTTACTTCCAGCTCTACATGATGCACTCTTTACAAGCTCCTCATACATTGTATAATTATGTATGTTACTTCAATGTATTTTGCTTGTCACTTACCCCTGTCTGTATCTCTTCCGTTCTTTTTTCTTCTTCCTCTATCTCCCAGTCACTTTTCCTATCTCTTTGTCTCTCTTTCATTTCTCTCTTGTGTTCATCTCTCTCTCTCTCTCTTTCTTTCTGTCCCTCTCTATCTCCCTCACTCTCTTTACCTAAATTTCTATCTATATTTCTTTATCTATATTTGACTGCCACTTACTGTGTCTACTTCTCTCCATCTCATTTTGTCTTGGTCAGAAGATACTTGCTATACCATCAACAGTATCTCATTACCCATGTTGCTTACTTATATGCAGTAGAACAGTAGTGGTGTTGTGGAGGGATGAATTTTCAAAGAGATCTTTATATAAAACTGAGTGGGCGCATGAGTGGGTTGGAGTCTTAAAAGGTATGAATACTAATGATAGTTTTAGTATGTTTATAGTCAACAGTGTACTGAGAACTCTGACGTAGACAGATATATATGAGATTTAAAGTTTAGAGGATTGGGAAGAGACTTTACTTCCAGTAATATAAAGATACCATTTAGAGGGTAAATTGCAAGTGGCAACTAGTTGGTTTAATTTAAAAGAAGAAAGGTGAGAGATCAGAAAAGTTGATGAATTATAAACTTTTAACTCTTTAAATTTGTAATGGATCAAGCAAAAATTTGAAACTCAATGACTTTTCTTGCAAACATTTTTCCATTGTTTTATTCTTATAATTGTCAAAGCAACTTTTAATATCCTAGGTTGTTAGTGTAGGAACAGATCTCTTTCATCTATAAGATCTTTTGTGACAACATGCATCTTATAACATAAAGGTTCATAAATTCACAAATTTCCCCATTTTCACAGAAGTAAATAATTGATATGGATCTAGATATAAATTATTTACTTCTGTGAAAATGGGGAAATTTATGATTTTTTTTTGTACAGTCTATATATCTAGAGTAACATATTCAATATTTGTCCTGTTTCCTAGTGAATGCATGCATGTTTACCTGGTACACTATTGCAGCTATATTTTATTCTATTCCTCATTTCTACAAACAAAGCTGATATGAGTGATCAAAAACTGCAATAAATAGTGCAGACTTGCAATCTCCCACATCATGACTTTAATTCAAATCTCCATCCATTTTCATTCCGGTCTTAATGGGCGGCAAATCTATGGGGCACAAAGGGTGTACAGGTGTTTGACCCAGCTGCACGTGCTAGCTGTCTTACGTCACATTGCATAAAGCCACCCCTTGAGATCATACTTTCACATTGTCTGCGATGCAAATAAGAGAATAAGCTTTGAATAGTCAGCTTGAAAAAAGCTTTTGAAAAAATTGATTGGACTCAACCACATTCACATTTTGTAATTTTTGTTTTTAAGGGCAATAACATGAAAACATTCTTTTTTTAAACATGATTTTTTTTTTTATAATGAATACTACTTTAAAGGCAAGTGACAATCCAATTGATAAGTACTTGTTGGTGATTAGAAAAACCACAAATATACAGGATATACACAACCAATATCAATACAAATCAAAATAATTTGGTGAATTATTTTCCATATTGTATCATTGCTAACAATTACATATATGTCTTCATGGATTGGGTTTATCCTCTATAATAGTCATATTCAATCAAAATACAGTACTTTTTATGGAAAAGATTGTACGAAAAAGAAATCAGACTTCTTATTTTTTTTTTACTGTGATGTAACTTCTAGCTAGACAAATCCTCCTATTTGAACTTGATAGAGGTTTTAGCACAATATTCTACATGCTAGAATTACCTCCTACTACTGACAGTAATGCTAACCTATGTTTTATATCAGATAAAGCTATGTTACTCTGCAATCCAAGATCTTGATAGATCTACAAGGATGTGGCCATCTCAAGTCTTTATCACCTATCCTTGGCATCGATCGTCTCAATTAACTGCTCTACTATCCTAACCTGGCATACCTCTAAGCCGCTTTGATCGCCGCTGACATTTTCAGTGGATATTCAAAGCAACTTCATGTGTATTGTAAGAAATGCAAAGTATAAACCTAATGGGGATGTTTCATGAGCTGTCAGCACTAAGTTCATAAGTGACACTGTTAGTACATGGCTCTAACAGCCTTATTGTGGCATGTGAGATGTATTTATTATGAAACATCATTAGGATATGCAGAACCTATCATGTGACCTAGCAATTAGACATGAAGTGATGTAAAGCATTATTATGGGGGCTGTAGTTCATTTTGTTACCTTTCCTTAAACTGTTAAGATGTTGAGGATGAAATGACTGTATGGACAATCTGCCTGTATTTCTGTTTGACTAAATGCCTGGACCTGCAGTTAAATGTAAATTAGGAAAATGTTATTTGTTCCATTACAAAAATTTAGAAATTAAAACTTTGTAGATCAAAGTTTCTAGTACACAGTGAATGGAGAAGCGCCCAACTTTGATTTTTATACTTTATGGCTGCTACTTTATCTCTACGACTAATGAGAACAATGGTAGAAAAAAGAATATATGAAGGTTGAAGCAATGAACGTAGACATTTTGAATGGATAGAAACATTGACATTAAGATTTTGTACAGATGTATCTAAAGAAAATAATTAACAATGTCTGATTGTCTTGACAAGCTATATGGCATAATAAGGATTAAGGTGAAATTAAATTTGAGATGATCATTTAATAATGTAAGTGATACCAGAAAAAACAGTAGTTAATGGATATTTCATTTTTGGATGAAATGAATCAATAAATGCCATGCATCTAATACATGACACATTGCATGAAATTCCTCATGGAAAGGACTGATAAGAGCAAGGAAAGCCACCCTCCCTCATTCTATTCCTGTCTCCTGCATGTCTTCAATGTAGTGTCAATTGAAAATGAAATGCTCCAGTGAATGTCAAATAATGGTGGTGGGTTGACAGTCAAAGAGAGGCTGAGAAAGCGTTGTACTTGGTGCAAGGGGGTAACATGACTCGCTACGTGAGGTGAATACTGTGATTAAAAGGAGCTAGTAGAGTAGCAGAGAGTGTGGTACATGTTGAAGGACTACCAAGAAATGTGTGATTTAACAAGAAGCTGGTGACTTAGTTCAGAGAGGATTCATGCTAAAATCAGATGTTTTCTACAGTAACCTCACTTTTATAGAATACCATTATTTTATATATTTTTACCTCTAGTGCCTTGTTACGAAAAGTTAATGCCTAGTACTGATGATAGAGGAACAATTTGCAAAAGTGGTAGTGATAGAGATGGTGGTAATAGGAGCAGCAAAAACAACAACAGTTGTAATATCAGTAGTATTAAAGAAGCAACAGCAGCAATATCAGCAGAAGTAGTAGTTGCAGCTGCAGCAATAGTGAAAAGCAGTAGTACCTTTGACTAATGTTCATAACATTTCCAAGTAATATTTATTACAGGTCTGATGTCTGAAATTTGTGTCTTTGTAAGCTTTTCACCAAAGCATTTCACCAAATCACCAAAGCAATTCTCTGATCTTCCTAGATATTGCAAAAAATTACAAGATATCCAATTGTTGAAAATGAGCATAGTTTGGTATTATCATATCCATTCTGAATGCTACTTTATTTTTCTCCTATGAAAATCCATAGTTGATGAAAATGAAATATTTGCCAATATATAGATGGCAATACCTGTTCATATTACATTTACCTTCGTTAACAATGCATTTGTAATGATAACTAAGGATCATGGGAGACCTCATCATCTCTCCCAATAAAAGTCACAACTCATTTACCCATCCTTATTGGAAAGGTTTCATTTTGGTGTCTCGCTTCTTAGAATCCTCGTCTTGCTGGACCTGCAAAGATATCGATTCCATTTGGTCCCTGGGTAAAGGGCACGTACACTGGGAGAAGTGGAGAGCACCAGAATCAAATAACCGTCCCCTTTTGATCAAATTTCCCTTCCTTGTTACCGCAGGCTATTCCTGAAACAGTTGCTGATGTGTTCCCAAGGTTCCCTGGCTTGATGAATTGGCTTTTCTTTCCTTGTCATGCATGTATGTTCTTTGTCAATATCATGGTGGCTATATGCATGCGTGTACTTTTTTTATGGGGTGGTGGATTGTGTGCTTTGTATATATTGGTCTAGGTCTAGGTGCGCTTTTAAGACCTTTATAATTGTTGCTTTGACCGTTTTTTATAGGTCGTGGAATTTGATTGAATGTGACTTACCGTAATGTGTTTGTTTTGTCTGGCTCTGTATATTCCATCTTTCTCTGATATTTCTTTTGTCTAGATTTCTAATTTACATCTAAATCGAATGCTTGTATTCATAAGAAATTAAAGTGAACTGTTTTTGGATTTTCTTTACTTCATCTCTTTCTCGATGCTATTCTCTTCCAACACTTATTATTCTCTCTCTTTCTCTCTCGCTCACTCTCTCTCTCCCTCTCTCTCTTACTCTTTCCCTCTTTCTCTTTTTGCTGTCTCTGTTTCTCTCCCCCATTCACCCTTTCCCACCCTCTTATGTCACTTTCTTGTTTTTCCCCTTCTCCTTGCATCACAGTATATCTTGTCTCTCTGTTCTGAGCCAGAATGGCATTAACTCCTAGTTACCATAAACAGTCAATACCCTTCTGGCTCTAATAGAGAGTTTTTTCCTGTTGTAGTGCTGTAGGTGATGAGAGTGAAGAATGAATTTACCTGCACAATGCTCACCACCCCCCCCCCCCTTCAGTCATGCGGGGACTTAATTGCTCTCACTATTATGTTAAATGATATGCAACTCCCATACTATTCACCAATCCATTTGATATTGTGACATCAAAATGCATGTATTATTGTGATTCATTATTTGAATGTACATATAGATAATTGATGTATATTTGTATTGTTACTATGGATATGAGCTCTAAAGCAACATTTCAAATTCCTGATATAGTCTGTTTGGAGTGAGAAGGGCATTACCGCTGTAGAAATTGTATGAATGAATGCTCTTCTTGCTCCAAGCAGATGATATAATACATTGCAGCATTTTCACAATTCACATGTCTAAAGAGTTCCAAAAGCACTTTCAGTAATATGCCACTTCCATTACAGTATTCCTCGTGTCATTGGGGAAAGAAAAAGATTTAAAAACTTGACATTTGCTCCTTTTCAACAGGAGAAGGGATGGTTATAGTAGACTGTCAACGAGAGATCGGTAAAGTATCCTTGCGTTTCCATATGCACACATGCACTGAACTCTAACTTTCTAATAAGATTGATTCTTAGCTAACACATTGCATGTCAAGCATCATTCACGTTTGCACGACCGCCTTTTGGGCACATTGATCTGGTCCAAGCACGTTTTCTATTGCCTGAACGGCTGAACCTGAGAAGCATTCAATTGAATCACAACATTTGCCTCAGAAGCTAGATGACCTATTTCTTTGAGACATGGACAATAGGTTGGCATGATACCTGGCCAAATAAATAAAGCTCTTTCCCTTTCATTAGTATTTTGTTTCTGTGCCTCCCTGTCTGTATTACTCTTTCTCTTCCTCTCTCACTTTCTCACTCTCTCACTCTCTCAATGTCTTTTTTTCTCTCTCACTTTTTCTTTCTCTTTCTCTTCTTTTTCTCCCCCTCTCCACTCCCTCCCCTCCCTTCCTCTCCCTTCCTCTCCCTCTCTGTCTTATTGCCAAGGAACTGAATGACATTGAATTTCCATTTACAAATTTGAGCAAAATAAGGGAGGATTCTCTGAATAATAACAAATTTTAATGGCCACGTCTACTAATTTCTCCTAGTATTGCTGCAGACAACGAGATTGAAGTTAATAATAAAGAAATCCACGTTTCTAGCATGGATCTAGACTTGAAGGATGCCTCCCTAGTTCGTAATCACATTTGATGATACAGATAATATAAATGATTGACTACTTTTAATCAAATGTGTGTAAATGTCAAACCTCATTTCAAGGCAAAGAGTACCGTAGAAAGCCGGAGTAGAAATAAAGATTTTGTAAACGTGAATGATGCTTTGCCAGTGAAATATTTACAAAACTTAGAATTACTAACTTACATGTACATTATGAGCAGTAATGGTATGTGAGGAAATCATCTAATAAAAGTCATTAGTATTAATATGCTATACAAAGTAGACGGAATGACATGATCTACAGGTAGAATCTATAGTGGGAATGATGCTAATCATATACATGTAGATTTGTTCCAAAATAGACTTGACTAATTATGTGAATAGCGCTGAGCAAAGAGATTGTTGATAAGTTAGGTAGAAATGAATGATGGCATTAACACCACTATCACAAAATTGTTGGAATGTGAAGAGTGCTTTTCTAAGAGAGTTGTTACTCACTTAGACAGAAATTATGCATATTGACCACTAACGGCAGTCTGAATAATGCTATGCAAATTGATTTAAAAAATATATATATTAACAGAACTTACTAATGGCATGTTAATCACTAATATCATGTAATCTGTAATTGCAAATATTTTTTGCAAAAAAAGATTTATTATTATGCATGAACTAATAGAATGAACCACATTGTACATTCTAGAAATTGCAAATGTCAATAATGCTATGAAATGTAACTAGGTAATATTATAGTATTAATGACTGCTTTGAGAGAAATAGTTGTTTTTATACGCTCAAGGGAAGGTTAGAATTGTGCTATTACCCGAGGCGTGCCGAGGGCAATAGCACAATTGTAACCTTCCCGAGAGCGTATAAAAACAACTATTTCTCGAATATTAAAGCAGTCATTAATACTTTTATATGCCAAAAAAAAAAGGGAAAAAAATTTTTAAAAATTAAAAAAAAAAACTTTTGTCGAAGATTGGATTCGATCTCTTGCGTACAAAAGATGATGTATCTAAAATCAGCGCCTTAAACCGCTCGGCTATCGCGCTCTGTTTCCATACATAGCAGCTTTTTCTTATATATATATACATTAAAATGAATTGAAAACGGCTTCGCGTGGCGGATGCTTCGCGGCTGCTCCATTAAACAGGCCCTTCTTTTACTTTTGCAATGCATGTTGGCACGAATTTAGATCAAGATCTATCGGCAGATGTTGTTTTTTTGTTTTTGGAAGTTTATTTTCGTCTTCATGTCAACAATGCAAGATAAATTTGTCGGTAAGATCGATCGAGATTCAACTGTATTGAAATTACCAACCAATTCTTTGCACACGTACGGTATCCTCGATCGCTCAGACCATTTTTTAACATGTAAACCTATGGGGTAACCATGGAGACTTACCTATTTTCCCAATAACCATGGTTATTGGGATTTTGAACTGTTTTTTAACCATGGTTACCGGGAATTTTCGGGAACAGTTAAAGTTTATAAATGCAATTTCGACCAATCAGATTGCTGGATTACTTAAGTGAGGTATATAATCAATAATGTTAGATGAAACCAGGGAGGTGAGACTTTAACTCACATGCCCTGATGAAACTAACATCTTAGAAATAGTGAAATATGGATGTGATGTGATGGTTATTTTACCTGACTGCTAAGAAAGCATAAATGCTTATGTTAATAAGAACAATTAATATAGTGCAGCTACTATAAGAATATACTCTACTGCGCTGTGATGGAAAAAAACACACCCCCTAACAGTGCTACTTTACGGACGCACAACTATAAACTATATATAACAGTTATGACAAATGAAATGGACTTTTTATCTTAAGTATTTTAGTACCATGGAAACTAATCAATTTGTTATTTAGTTCATATTTTGCAAAGTAGCCACTCGCATTAGCATATATGTATATGAGTCATATACTTCATATTGAACCTAGTCTTAACTTAGTTCACAGAGCAGTCCTTAAACTTTGAAGTTATGAAGTTTCAAGCTCCATTGATGTCGTGTGAACGTTGCTAGTATTACATTGTTCTGTTCATAGCATCATGTCTTGAGAGACAGGTGTGTTCTAGATGCATAGAGACAAGATTGAATTAGATTATCAGTAAGCATCATTAATCTCCATACTCATCTTCATTCAGACATGAAGGAGAAACATCTAGAAATAGACTTTATATTAGATTAGTACTCTCTTTAGTAAAGGTTATAAATCTTGTAGAGTTATATTATAAATTTGTTTAAAAATGCATTATCTTCCTTGTGTATGTACTTGGTAAGGACTCAATTCATAATCTTTTTTATTTCAAGAAAGATATATGAGTAATGGAATAGAATTTTGATTTAATTATAGTACCATAAAAAGGTACTGGTAATATTTATATTTATATTTTATTTTGAGCTTTGGATTGGCAGAGGTGATACATAGTCATCTTGTTTTTATGAGAATTTATTTATTATACATGCAATTCTAAGGCCTTTTTTCTGCGTCAAATAGTTTGTTACTTAGTTCGTGTTCCACAAAATAACCATTTATGTTGACATGAACAGATAAATGCTAGTACACGCCAAGAGTATCTTTTTAAGATTATCGAAGAATTGTTATGTTTTCATTTTCATTGATCAACATGAAAAGAATTTATATATGAAATGTATGGTGGGATGTTCAGAAATAATTTCATTTCTAAGAAAGCGTTGAACACACTTGACTATGACACCTCCACCGAGTTTGATAGTGAAGAAGATAATGCTTGAATAGATCTACAAATTTCTTTGTGGAGAAATGAGTAGGGTAATAATGTATTACATTTGTTACTACTTGAACAGCCTCAAGATAAAGCAGCAATGATGTGACAGACATTAATTGTTATCGGTACAGGCATTATGGCTTGTGTAATCCCAGGAAAACATGATTGATATTGCAGCCTAGCCAATTATTACACTTGACATTGAAGTTTAGCCATGCTTGAAGCCCATGGAAGCATAATGAAGTAATCAATAAAGAACACTTGAAAATAAGAGACCCATGTGGCTTGTTATTTAGCCTGCATTTGCCTGAACTATAACTGTATGTTGAAGAAACCTGGGATCCAAACATATTGAAATTGTTTATCTTTGAACAATTGGATAATATTTGTTAATCATCAAATGAAATGTGATAATCATTGGATTATAATTTAAAAGTCGTTCATGTTTGAAATTACATAAAGATTTATTCTTTATTCTAGGAACAAATTGCTGGTATATATATATATATATATATATATATATATATATATATATATATGATAACAGTTAGTGATTATACCGTACACATTTCTGACTGTGCATGTGTTCAAAAGATATCACTTTCCAAAATTTGTTTTGAATGAGAGTATAAATTTCTGCAGACGTAAAGCACCAGAGAGAAGATTTTTAAAAACTTTTTCTCATTTCGCCACCCCCTCTCCCCTCTCTTTTTCTCTCTACATTTTGAGGGCATGAAATCCAGTTTGTTACTCACCATATGATTTATAGATATATAAAAATAGCCATAACAAAGTATAAGATGCACAATAGACTTTACAAGGTGGACTGGTGGGTGTGGGGGGATGATGTGTCGGATAAAGTCGATATTTCTTGTCATTAAAGAATAGAAAGGGATTTTTCTATGTAAGTCTATCAAGGTACCAACTCATCTTTTATTCTACTTAAATCAGACGCAACCTGATTCCCATGGTGCAGCTGAGGGATAATCTTATGAAGGCGAGGAAAATTTAATCAAATGATGGAAAAAGAACAGAGTCTTTTGATGAGGAAATACTAGATGAAGATTGCCATGAATATTTACCCCAGTTTGGAGGGCTGGGTTACACCTTATTCTGCAACACCAAGAGAATGATGAGATGAACTGGGTATTGACTGGGAAAATGTTCCAATCGGAACTCTTACCTCACTTTGCCTTTTTGCTTATAGGTTTTGAAAATGTTCAAGTTTTATTTCTTTACTTTATTTGATGCAAGTGTAACAACATGACATGTTGAATATGGTGGATTCACAATTAACAGCGCCCCCACCGGCAAGCCATGAAGGCCAATTTTTCAGCTTGCAGGTCGACATCTTGTAACCAGTGCAGCACAGCAAAATGCTAGCCACTGAGAGAAATGACCAAAGTAGTCTGAACTGTATTCAATGGGATTGATTGTTCTGATATCGGCGCAAATTTTTATATCGAATTGGATGTCAAAACCCAACCATTGATGGATTGATTCTGACGGAAAATTTCGCTTGCTCTAAACAATACCAACAATCATTTTTGGCCAAATAAAGTGACATAAATGACCATA